GGAGGGAAGTTTATTGTCAAACTTATCGAGGGGAGTGTATTGCAAAACTTATTGAGGGAAGAGTATTGTCGAACTAATGGAGGGGTTGTATTTTCAAACTTATGGAGGGGAATTATTGCCAAACGTATGGAGGGGGGTGTATTGCCAAACTAATGGAGGGGAGTGTATTGCAAAACTTAAGAAGGGGAGTGTATTGCCAAACTTAAGGAGGGGAGTGTATTGCCAGACTTATGGAGGGGATGTATTGCCAAACTTATGAAGGAGAGTGTATTGTCAAACTAATGGAGGGGAGTGTATTGCCAAACTTATGGAGGGGAGTTTATTGCCAAACTTATGGAGGGGAGTGTATTGCCAAATTTATGGAGGGGAGTGTATTGCCAAACTTATGGAAGGGAATGTATTGCCAAACCAGATCGCCCAAAAGCACCAAGCCCATGGTATTATATGTATTACAATGGCTAAAACTTGGTCCAGACCCGACTTTGGCCAAAGGAATAATTATTCAACCAACCATTTGACATATCATCGAAAGAAGAGAAACATAGCTCCACGGTACCCTTACCCGATACATTGATTTATTTGTTTGTCGCGTTTGCTTTGCGATGTACCAGGTCGTCCAATAAGTTCACGGAAAGATGGTCTCATTTCAGAGGTTTCAAATGTTTTGTCAGGAAATTGTCAAATCACATCACAATATCTGGTTATTGATTTTTTAAATATCAGCATCTGTGATGTGATTGGTCAAAAACAATGGTTACTATGATAAATTGACGTTTGGGTACACGGGACACTTTCACACTATTCAATAAAGAAAACAACAAAATAGTATGAGTAAATCACATTCATTTCCTCTTTCATCTGCTTTCATGTACACATGATATTACTTCTCATGTACTATCCCATAAAGTGTCCAACGTGTTCTCCCTTGTGTTCAATGCAGTTGCTGGTGTTCAACATATTGTTGAAACTCTGTTCTGAAGTCATGAGGAACACGTGTTTGAAGGACCATTTGGACTTCTATTGAAGTTCTTGTACGTTGTATTGTTCCTTGTCGAAAATGTCGTAACTCATCCTTCATCCTGTTCGAAACAGCAAAATCAAGGATCACCCCATCATAGTATCTTTACCATACACATCCCAAATATGATTCATCATTTTCTGTTTGGTCTGCTCTCCAAGGAAACCGGCAGAATCTAACATGCAGCTCTGATCTTTGAAAACTTGTTCTTTTGAATTTGAGCCATCTTGGAATCTCTCAGGTGCGACTTTGATTGATGATGTTATCAGAGCATTCACGTGTTATGTAAAAGTTACTAAAGATGCGATTGAGTTGTCATTTAGTTGTTCTACATTAACCATTTGAAATTTTAATGAGAACAAATAAAATACATGAGTCAATTAAGGCTTCATTTGCACTCATTGGAAATTGAGTGACGTAAAGTGCCCCGCCTGGCTAAAAGTCAGGTTACCATATAGTAACCGTCAATTTTGACCAATCAAATAAGAGATGCTGATATTTTACAAATAAATAACCAGATTTTTTATGGATGCTACGTGAAAATTAAAACCCTTTGAAATGAGAGTATTTTCCGCGAACTTATTGAACGACTTGCTATATGCATTATCGCCAAATGAAAAAATTGACGTTTTTGACAAGAGAAATGGTTATATCACTGCTTATTCTTGGTCAATGTCATGGATTAAAAACGCTTGTGTAAGTTGAACAGCTGTTACGTTCCCAGACTTGTTTAAAATATCACATTGGCTATATTCATTCCACTGTTCCACACTAAAATGTTTATGAAGTCTTTCATATTCTTTCATGGCTTTAAAGATTTGAATTTGTACTACACACGTAGTACCTTAATTTCTGAAGGATCACATTATTTGCCACTCTAGTTTGTGTTTAAAGCAGGATTGTTATAATGTTTTTTGGTTGAGCGGGTACGACAGACGCTTGGAACTTGCTCCTTGGACTTATTGTCACGGAATCCGTTATGTCCGATTTTGATAAATGTGGATACCCGATCACAATAACACCTAAATGAATCATTGTCAGTTTGTAAAACCGAAACTTTGATTATATTCGTTCATGTGATTGATTCATTCACAAAGAAACAAAATGACGAAAATGTTGGTGCATTTATCGATTATCTGATTTGTGTTCAAAGCACCGTTGAATAAGTTCTTACGGCATGCGTAAACACGAACGTCACATTTTTAGCTGATAGCTATTTATATTGCAATTGAAGAATATAAAATTCCATTCCGCATTCCTGTGGCTTTGAAAGACGCATCGTTTAATTGGTATCAGGCAAACAAACGCAAGGATAGACAAAAAAGGTTAGCAATTTTGATTTGGCATTTTTTAATTATTTTTTAATGTTGTAGTTTTTAAATTTTTCTATTGATTAGATTTCTCAAAGACTTGTACTTTATTATGCATGGATCATGTTGAGCATATAAATTTGAAATCTAAGGTTAAACTCGAGCATATGATTATTAGATGTTTTAGTGGATAATACTTTAATGAAATTGAATGGTTAAACGATTTTGCCATAGACTTTTTTAGAAAAATTAAATCAACTAACTATATTTGAAAGTAACATTTCCAAAGAACAAAGGTCCATATGCAGTATGGCAAGTGATTTTAGGCGGTCATATCTTTCACCATGAATACTTTCTGGGCATAATGTCCCCATGATGGTAAAAATATCAATCGAACTATTCGAAAAATTATAAATAGGGACCCCACGTAAACAATTTTTTTCAAAATGTTGAACTTATTTGCTCAAAAGAGGATCTTCTTTTTCTGATTTTATTGCAAGAAAACATTATTCAAGAAGTGGTCTAAAACATCTTCATAAGTAGAATGGTAATGAAAGTCTAGTTTTTCAATTTTCGATGACCAAATCATGCTGAAAACAATGGATAGCATGAGTTTTCCCCATGGGAAAATAACATGAGAAATGTGGTTTTTAACTTTATCACATGTCAATACCCATCTTCTTTTCAGAAATTGTTAGTATAGTGTCGAAGAAACTTTCGATATGTTCAAATTGAGAAAAACAAGATCCTCTTTTTAGAAAATGAGCCTAACATTTTAAAATAGTGCCAAGGTGGGGGTCGAAATCCATAATTGTTCAGAGAGTGGAATTTATGTTTTACTATCACGGGGACGTCACTTTAAAGAAAATATATTGTTTGAATAAAAACTACTGTATTTATACCCAGAAAATACTCAAGATATAGATATGACTCTAAAATCACTTGCCATACTGCACATGGACCTTTGACCTATTCTTTCGATCTTCATGTGTTACATCAGATTTATTTATCAAACCTACGATACATGTACATTGAGTAAAAGCAACAAATGTGCCATGTTCGTCTAAATCGTCTAAATACATTGTTATTATGACTGGGTGTGAAATAAAGATAAGCCTTTTCGACAAAAAGTTCAGTACTTTAGGGGGAATAAGTCATTCTTGATTTAATAAATGCTTTTTTCTAGATGATCCCATATTTTTGAGACATGGTAGAAATAGCACAATTTGATCTACTCTTACTTCACCTTATCTTGATCTTCTTATTAACATTGAACGAGACAACAGTATATATTGTAAATTATATGACAACAGAGATGACTTTAGTTTTGACATTGTTAATTTTCCACATTTGGATAGCAATATTCCACTAAACGTAGCATATGGGGTTTATGTATCCCAGCTTTTTAGATACAGCAGGGCGTGTTCAAAATATGTAGATTTCAAATCAAGACACCATATTTTAGTGACCAAGCTGTTAGGCAAAGGTTATACTTGTAAAAAAACATAAGAAATCCTTTCCGGGCTCTGCTGAAAAGTACAAGTCATTAATTTTGAAATTTCAAATTTTACCACTGAAAGATGTAGGAATGGTATAACAAATTGGCAATGAACTCACAATTTTTCACTTGGCACCTTTTGAGGTGGATCCCGGCGATGACATTAATGGTTGAGAAATAGGGATCGAAACTAGCCATAGTTTTCTCCTGATGACCATTTTTCAATTTTTCTTCAACATGTATTTTAATGACTTCAGTATGAATGAAATGTCCCTTAGTGATCTGGTCCTAGATTGTGATATTGGTTCTCGATTCGAGGGGGGAGGGGGATGTTAGACATTGTTTCTTTTCACGTTAGACCATGGTTTGGGATATATAGGGTCTACTTTTCTTATGACAGATTTACTCTTACAGATTGCTTTTCTTGTTGGGTTTCCTTAAAGTTTTTAGTTACCCTTCCCTTTTGGCATTTGTGCTTATATATTTTAATATACAGGGTGACCCAAACCTCTGTTTTAATTTGGAAATTAAAGTATGACTGCAATTTTGTTATATTAAAGAGGGACATGGGGTATAAATAGGAGGCAGACTAATGGAACAGCCAAAATAACTGTATTTTTGATATTTTCACAAAGCTGGTCACTTTTCTCATATTTCATATCGATTGAGAAGATGTATTGCTTCCACATTTGTTATATGTGTATCTTTCAATGTTTTAAAGTTCATATTCTGCAGTTAGATTTCAACTTCGTCATTTTGTTGGATCGTGATAGGACATTTAAAAACAGTAATAACATTTTTTCAAATTTGAAGTCCTCAAGCTTAGCTAATCAAAATCAAGTATTTAGCTTTGCTGTTAATTAAACTTACTTATCCTGACTATCCGTGCCATGTTAAAGTGTGGATGTAACCTGATATTTTAATGAGAGTTGCTAGCAAGTTTAAAACTGGTCTTTAACATTTCAGACAAGGCGGGCACGTCAAAGTTAATGCAAATCCACAAAACAAACCAATCGGCTCTTTCTGAATTATTTCTCATTAAAGGTATCATATGATCATTTTACATGTTAATGTAGTGTATCACATTAAAGTCCGTAATATATAGAGTTTGAAAATATCGTCCATAATTGAACTCCAATGTTTATATGTTTATAGAATTCAAACCTAGTCAAACACCAGGATGTGGTGTGGATATCTGACCTTGGCATTTGCTCTCGGATTTCTTGATGGGGCGGTCCTGGCTTGCACTTGTCCACCTGATGGTGGCACTAATACAGGCTCGTAAGTACTTAAAGTGCGCTCTGTGTATATTCGTTATTAGAAATACACAATCAGTCACAGCCATTTTGTTCACTTCAACATTTGAATCGTGAACGAAAAATTCCAAAACTCAAAAGAAATGATCGAGTCTTTTGGACTGTTTATTTTGAATTTATTGTCGTCGGTTTTAATTTAAAAATAACGACATTTAAACATAAGCATATGTGTATCTTTAAGATCCGTTTATTATCTTCAAGAAAAGTATATATAATGATAATTAAGTTAATCATACCTAATTGATATTGAAGGGGCAATGGAACAATCAACATACAGGGTGTTCAAAAAAACGCAAAAACACCATATTTAGAAAGATATTTGGTTTTATTGCTGTGGCAGTCACCCTTGACTGCGTTTTCATATTTTCCTAGCACAACTGTCATTTGAGCAGGTGTCCAAGGCATCATATTTTACAACTTACTGACAACAGGAGCTATACATACATAGTCTCTTCTTTCTCTTCTTGAAAAAATAATCATAATTGAATTAGTATTTTCCGAGATATAGTTATTTTCCATTCACGTTTTTCGTATTTTGCTAGTACAACTGTCTTTTGAGCAAGTGTCCAAGACATCATGTTTTACAACTAACTAACAATAGGGGCTATACATACATAGTCTCTTCTTTCTTTCCTGAAAATATGAACATAATTGGATTTGTATTTTCCAAGATATCGCGATTTCTTTGGGTTGCGTTTTTAACACCCTGTACTTTTTCAAAAATGTTGACCTAATTTTCACCAAAGATGCAGCTTTTTATTATTTTGTTGAATGTATAATTAGAATATGCTTTATACATGTTCGATTACCTAAAAGGAAAAGTTGATTGCTCTAGGGACTTTAAAGATACTTAATTTGGATGACCAAAATGAACTGAAACCAATGAATGGCATGAGATTTTTCAATAGAGAAATAACACGGGGAGCACTTATCTTAAAGCAATTAAGTTTTTCTTTTAAGAACTATTTGATACATCAAAATAAAGAATAGTAATGCATTAAACATTGTAAAAAATTATTGAATTTTTGGTGAAAATTTGGTTAACATCTTTGGAAAAGTGTGTTGATGGATAGATGGGTTGATATCTCCGAGTTGGTTTGACTTTATTATTACTGTATATAATTTTCATTGAGATAATGGATTGATCTACAAGATAAACCTGTCTTCGTTGTCAGTAAATAGTTGTAATCCAAGATATAATTCAAGATATAACCTTCTGAAATTGTTTGCGATAACCTACGTGCTCCTTTATATTGGAACGGTATTACCATAATCATCTATTTTGTGCCTCACTTTAGTTACGTATACGTATTGGAACTTCAAAAACGGTTAAGATCTGGACTTCTTACAATAGTAGTAACAATAGCAAACATGTACATTTTATTAAACACGTGATACTGACATACGTTTGGGAATTCTGCCAGCAACGCGTGAAATAAGGAAAAAAGATTAATCGTACCTAATTCGAGGTTCCGATATTTTGTAACCAGCGTAATCGAGTGGATCACAAGTGACAATACATGTATTAATTATATCACTGTCATATTCCTCACTATTTGATTGGTCCATGGCCTACACATGATTTATAAATAACAAAACCAGAATAGTTAAATAACAGATTTATTTAGATCAATAGATAAGTACAATTAAAGCAATTAAATACAAAAACTTAAGATTAATTTACTCTGCCTTGGGGCGACACTTGACACGTGATGCTAACTAAACATGTATCAATGGCATTCAAACTCACGTTCGTTCTCAAGCTAGGATCCTGTGTCACATAACAAAGTATAACATAATAGTTGGGGTATCTGACACTTGTACACATGCTGCAGATCAGACAGACGGATATACCCAGTAAATAGCGCCCATGGCAGAAAGGATGATGAGGTATCTGACTCCCGACCATGCTTGGTAGATCGCGAAGACCTGACATCCAAGGCGAATAGTGCGGTAGATAGCCCCATTATGAAAATAGGTATCTGACTCCCGACCATGCTTGGTAGATTGCGAAGACCTGACACCCAAGGCGAATAGTGCGGTAGATAGCCCCATTATAAAAAGAGGTATCTGACTTCCGACCATGCTTGGTAGATCGCACTATTTGCCTTTGGTGTCAGGTCTTCGCGATCTACCAAGCATGGTCGGAGTCAGATACCTCATCGTCATGGGAGCTATCTACTGGGCATATCCGTCTATCTGATCTGCAGCATGTGTTCATGTGTCAGATACCCCAACTATTACGTAATACTTTGTTATGTGACACATGATCCTAGCTTGAGAACGAACGTGAGTTTGAATGCCATTGATACGTGTTTAGTTAGCATCACGTGTCAAGTGCCGCCAAAGCCTACGTGGCTTTCGTTGAATATCAAATGATAATCACCAGTCACGCCTTAGTCCAGTTTAATTTAATCGTTTATATCCCCGGGAGTACATTTAGGGAGGGGGATGGGGATGTTAGACATTGTTTCTTTTAATGTTAGATCATGGTTTTGGGGTCTACTTTTCATATGACAGATTTACACTTAGAGTTTGCTTTTCTTGTTGGGTTTCTTTAAAGTTTTTAGTCACCCTTCCCTTTGGCATTTGCGCTTAATATATATTGCTATGATGAAAGACATCAATAGTTTGTTATTCCATAAATGTTAGTGAGGAATTTAACAGTAAATGACAAAACAAACATTAAATTCTATTTTCGGTGAAAACATGTGACACTTTCACAAAATAATAGTCCTTCGTACTTCGTGAAATATCACTTGTTAAAGGTACACAGATATTCACCTCATAGAATTAAATGTTTGTATATTATTTCAAATAATACTCAAGTTGGTGAAATGAAATTCGTTCAAGTGGGATACTTCAAAGAATACTCTACAGTCTTCTGACCAATATCTAAAAAAGCACTGGTCAGGTTGTTTAAAAACCAGATATGGCCAAAATACCGGCAGCTTAGAACCAATCAAATGTCAGTATCTAGACAAGGAGCATGATAATATTGATTGAAAACATGTATGCGACACTCCACCGGTAGTGTAAAATATGACACGGTCGTTATTCGTACCAAAAATTCTATATTAGGTTTGATGTTTGGTTGACAACTGGGGACCAGTCGAACAAACTATCTCAAAAAGCGTCGATTGTAGCAAATAGTGAACCAACAAATGGATTTTCTGTTAACGTCAACAACGCTACACGATATCAAACCATGGATGGTTTTGGCGCAGCGATAACGAACGCCGCTGCATACAACATCTACAACAGCCCGCAACGCAGTCAGATCATTAACGATCTCTTCGGCCAGAATGGTATTGGTATTAGTTATATCCGCATTACTATGGGTGGTTCTGATTTCCAAGCGGTAGCACCATATACATACAACGATATGCCTTCTGGTCAAGAGGACTTTGCGCTTAATTCCTTCAGCATTGCCAACGATCGTAATTTCATCATCCCCATCTTAAAAGATGCTCTAGTCGCAAATCCAACCTTGAAGATTATGGCTACTCCTTGGAGTGCGCCTGCTTGGATGAAAACCACTGGTAGTTTAAATAGTGGGTCCCTACGGGAGGAATGTATGTCTGTCTACGCTGACTATTTCCTAAAGTTTGTCCAAGCGTATGCGGGTGAAGGTAATTGATCTGTTTTAGCTTCTTGGGTTGGTTATATAAATTGGTAAAACAAATAATAAACCACTTCAGGACGAAAACATAATGATATGTGGTAGGTCAGCAATAAAGTTGCAGTTAATCTCATTTACATATGGTTTTGGAATTTTGAAAAAACGAACGTCATTTACTGTCAGCGATGTATCATATGTAAAATACTTAGCTATATCATATCTTATTATTAACTATTCATACAGGTATCACGATAAATGCAATAACTGTTCAGAATGAACCACTACACACGAGCAGTGCCTACCCAACCCAGCATATGTGGTGGCAGCAACAGAGTACCTTTGTAAGAGATCATCTAGGGCCGCGTTTGTCCGCAACATCCACTAAGATAATTATTTACGATCATAACTGGGACAATACAGCGTTTACAACAGGAATTTTGAATGACCAAGCCACAAAGGCGTTTGTCGATGGATCGGCATGGCATTGCTATTCGAATCCACCCCAGGACCACTACAAAAAACCGGGTGATATTAGAAATCAATTTCCAAATAAGAACATCTATTTTACGGAATGTACAGGTGGAGATTGGTCCCAGGATTTCGGCTCTAATCTTGAATGGAATACAAAATATTTGTTTATTGGTCAACCGAGAGTTTGGGCTAAAACTGTTTTGTTATGGAATATGGCTCTGGATCAAAACCATGGTCCAAAAGTGGGAGTTGGTGGGTGTTCGGATTGTAGAGGTGTGATCACTGTATCTGGGACAAGCTATCAACGGGAGGTCGAATATTACGCCATTGGACACTTTAGCAAGTTTGTTCCTACTGGATCTGTTCGTATTGACTCTTCAAACTTTGGTTGGGATGACGTTCACACGGTTGCCTTCGAAGCCCCTGACGGTGCTATTATAGTAATAGTGTTGAATCCATCTAGCTGGAACACAGTAAACTTCAATCTGAACCTCTTTGGAAGTACATACCAGTATAACAACTTGCCACCAAGATCTGTTGTCACTCTCAAAATGTCTCCGTAAATCCAAATGTTATATTAATTAAGTATATAATTAGAACTGTTATTTTGAAGAAAACTAACTTCGGTATACTTTGAATTATAATAGTACGTCATTTGAAAATACAGTTTTAAATAAAGTCATATCTACGTTGTGTTACAGATGTCTATCTGAATAATTAGAAACATACGCCGTTATACCTACTAGCGAAGTGTGAATTTCAATGTCCATGTTTCGTATGATCTTTCCTTTATTTGTACACATATAACATGTACGGTATACAGTCTCATGGCGTGACTCTGGGAAGATTTCAACAGTATTGAACCGCATATGCCAGAATTAGTAACATATCAGAAAACTATCTGATTCTCTTGGATTAGGATTGACGGACTTGAATTCTTCAAACGTTAACAAAATATATTTCGGGGTTCTTTTACATTTCTCAAGTAAGCTGTCACTTTAAGTCGAATTTGAGACGAACCAGATCATCGCAAATCGTGAATTTTGTGTTCTTCAAACAGCCACAATTTTTCAGTTATTCCTGGCGTGTATTCTGTAAACTTTCATTTGAAACATGGATGAACCACAATTATCCTAGTATAGGAGATATATCCCATTATTTTGAACAATCGTTTTTATTGCAATGGTTTGTTGTTACATTGAATAGCAAATGTGTTATTTTAAATTTATTGTCATCTACCATTTCAAATAAACATTACACTATATGTTTAAAGTCATCAACTCAGTAAAACATTAACCTGTATGCATATAACATATTAATTGAGTTGTCTGATTAAATACTTGCTATTCGTGGAGGGCATGCGTCAATAAACACATAAATATCAATTGTTATAATGTCAATTAGGTTAAGCGCTATCAATCACATAAATAAAAGTTATGTTATGGGAAGTTTTCGATATGGGGTGAATCCTGGGGGATATAACCGAGGGCTGGAGGGTCCGAGGTAAGATAGCATATTTCCTGAGGGATATACCCGATATTCAAAACCAAGCATCACATAATTAATTTATCTAATGACAAGTGAGGTTTCATATTTGAGGTTTTCAAGACACCCATATCCAGGTTTATTTTCTTTAAAGTGTTCTCATTCTTATTATTTTGTAGAAATCCATTAACATTTTGTTTATGAAAAATGCGAAAAAACGTCTTTGGAGTAACCAAAAAAACGGATTATTAGAGCGGGAGATATACAGCGGAATAAATATATGTAGCGCTTCCCCAAGATTAGCCTTGCCTAAGTCTGTATCATATTTCATTTATCTTGATTTTCAATTATATACGCGAAAATATAATCAAAAAATAAAAAGGCATAGCCTTGGGCAAGGCTTTCCCTTGATATCAATTCTATATCCCGCTGTTATGTACCTGAAACCTCACTGGACACAGGTTAAACTTTAGTGTTTCTCAATCCATGCAGTAATATTAAAGTATGTTAACATTACGAAAACGTTGGCTGTCAAACCAAATGTGCGACGTTTACCTGCAACTACCATACAATCACAAAACAAATTGCATATTCATGTTTTTATAACATTTACATATTTATCATCATATACCATGGACGCTTGCACCAATGGCACTAAGAGTTTTTAACCTTGCCATCATTTATACCATGTTTGGAACAATAAACTAACAGTACCTAACTATTTGGTAAATGATTTGTTCCATTCCGTGCATGATCATATTAAGCATGTATGCTTTACCTAAGATTTATTCCCCCGAGGCATGACACTAAAAGGCAATTAAAGACTTAATCCAATCTGTTGTATTCGGTGGTCAAGAATCCCTGAAATCAATTGATTTGCGAACGAACTGAATTGTAAGATCATATACAAATAGCTGCATACATTTTCCATTTTCATATCAGATAATTTCACTGTTTATTAACTTCCTCGTTGATCATTAACTATTGCACTGTTTATTTACAATGGCATTTGCAAATGTCAGCTTGTCTATTTTCACATCAGATAGAGTCACGATATGACCTGGTACATGCTTATATAGGGTGTCTCAAAAAAATGTACCCAAAAGTATATCAACAGCATAGACAAACCTATCAATATTTTCAGACAATTTTTGCATGGTCTTGTAGATAAAAGATGAAAGTTTTTTCCCTATACACAGTTTTTATTTCAGTCTTGTCTTTTTGATACTTTAACCAGTTACCTTTTACACCACATATTCAATGTAACCTCATATTTCGATGACAGTCTGCATCCTTACTACTACATTGTTCATCACATTTGATATATCTGGTGGAATGTTTTGTTTTCTGTTCGGATGCTGGTCTTAAGCTGTTCTAGGTCTCTTAGCTTGGGTTTAGCATAAAAATGGTCCTTCAAATAGCCTCAGAGAAAAAAGTATGAGGCGTCAAATATGGTGAATAGGGAGGCCCTCACAAGGTCTTATAGCCCCCTTATACAAAGAGGTCAGAGGTTCAAGAAACTGTATTGCTTGGGATTCTAGTGTAGCTTTTGTTTGTGTATCAATTTGAGACCACTGTGTTTTCATTTGGATATGATGTGGTCTCCAGGCTAGCCTGCCTAACTCTGGAAGGTAACTCCTGAATTATTTGCCGATAATTGACCTGATTTTCTGTGTTTGTTCTGCCATCGTCATCCTCAAACATCTTTCTCTGTGGCTATTTGAAGGAGTGCTTTAATGCTCATTCCAAGCAAAAAGACCTAGAGCAACTTAAGGGCAACATCCAAAGAGAAATCCAAAACATTCCAACTGAATTATTATCAAATGTGATGAACAATGTAGCAGTAAGGATTCAGGCTGTCATCGAAATATGAGGTTACATCGATTATGTGGTGTAAAAGGTAAAGGGTTAAAGCATCAAAAAGACAAGACTGAAATAAAAATGGTGTATTGGGGAGAAAACTTTCATGTTTTGGCTACATGACCATGCAAACAATGTCTGAAAATATTGATTGGTTTATCTGTGCTCTTGATTTACTTTTGGGTACATTTTTTGAGACACCCTGTAAATGTGCTAATATTACATTTAACTGGATATTATTCTATTGATGAACACGCACCTGAAAGATAAACAGCACCATTATCATAGCTAAATCGTTTTATAGGTCACATAATAGTTTTTAGTTATAAGTACCAATAGGGAAGTTATGACAATATGGTGAGCTCTTGATCACAGTTTGATTGTTCCAGATCACCATCTGAGCCAATAAAGGACTGGTTGCGGTTTGCTGAATTAAAAATCAACAATTTTTCTCGAAGCCAGCTATCGAAAAAATGGTGTGCCCTTTTTAATTTAAACAGTATATAATAATTATTTAGAAAACCCATCTACTGTATTGTAATTATAATGTTTGTTGCTCCAATTAGTTTTCGGGAATAAAAGAAACAATAAACAATATCCAACCCTCGTTGGGACGAAATGATATACAGTATACGTGCAATACAATTTCATACAGTATTTGTCATTTTGCTCCATTGGGGGTCGAATAGATGTTAAATTTCATTCCAAAGAATTGATTGAAAAGATCAAAAACAAGTATGCTATCAACAAAAATTGTTTACTTAGACAATTATATATATGAAATTTATATAAAATTATTAATTAAAATAAATTGTTGATAAATTCGATGACCATTACATCAAATTAATGTATTTTAAGATTCATATCGATAGTCGCTTCAGAGAAAAACAATGTTGACTTTAGTTCACCAAACCGCAACCAGTCTTTTCAATGTGCATTTATAAGATAAACAAGCTGTAAGCCTACTTAGTAGCCCAGACAGATTTATTCTACATGCCAATTTCTAAAAAACGGAGTATATGTACAACAAATATAGGGATTGAATATGGGTTTTAAACTCGCATTGGGCGCCAATATTATATTTCCCAAGAAAGAAAATATATTAACCGAGGGATAAAATCCATATTCAATTCCCGAACAGGAAAATCGCGTTTTGTTCGATTGTAATTTTTATTTTCAAGGGGACTTCACTTGAAATGAAGCAACTATCCATTTAAATTTGCACGAAAACCACTGTCGGAATCTCACAAAATCCCATAAAACACGATTTATGAAGACGAAACAGACAACCTTTGTAATTTTATTTTTGCGGACTTTTTGAAGTCACGTGACCATGACAGCTTTGACATACCATATGTCAAGTTATTCTGGCGCTAAATCTAAAGGATGTTGCTCCAAACTACTTCAGAGGCTTAACCAAAGTAGAACTATACATTAGTTTCAATTTCGCACCCATTTCAATAACAAATTTGTTTTTAATCGATTGAACTATCACAAAATACAATTCTTGTGGAAAGAGCACTGCAAAACTATTCATTACAACTACAAGAAATTGATTGAAATGCATTTGTTTGATTTTATATACATAACTAAATATGTTTACCTGCTCTGAAAATGAAATTAGTTTTGCCGCGAAAGCAGGCACGTGCTGACTTAAAATTCAATATTATCATGATAAAATGAACTTTCGGAAGTGTTGGTGGTTCACCATCGTCAAGTGTGGTCTCCATACGGTGGGATAGCTTCTAAATCGAGTAAAACGGTTTCGTACAACTTCAAATATATTTTACAAACAAATCATTGAGACTGCTGTTTTGTTAACCTCATATATATCATATCATTGAATCGTGAAAATGAACACATGTACTATTGTTTTATCCATTGTTTACAAAACGACAATAGAGATAAAGAATATGTCAGTAGATTTAAGTGAAAATGTTGTTTATTATGTAAAACGATATCTACCTCGGTTGCTTCGATGTAGGCACAGGCCTCGGGCCTGTCTATTTATCATGTTTTGTCTACTATGTGATTTCCCCGGGAAACATTTCATTACATTTCCCTATGCACTTTTCATGCAGTGTATTATAGACCAATCAGATCACAGGAAATCAATCGTGGAAGGTTGCCGAGTACTCCTAGAGGTGTTGTCAAAATCGTCTCCATCTACGATAAAATCGTAGTTTGACGAAAATCGTCAAGTTCAAGAAACGGAAAA